GCATACATTACGCATAGTCGAAATTAGAAAATTCCAACCAGAAAACTATTTGATGTGTATTCGTGATATTTATAATGATGACGAATTTGATTTAAATCATATCAAAGACAGAGTACATCGAGATGAAATACTACATTTAGTAAGGAATTATAAGCCGAATAAAATAAAAACATCTGCCCCGAAGATAAGGATAGTGCGGACAGATCAACTTCCAGTTCATTGCGCGCTGCGACATCCTGAGCGGTCTCCTTACCATAGACCGCCGATGGACTGTCCGAGAATTATCCGGTTGATCTTTAGATTATGGTAACTTGGCGATTTTTTGGCGAAAATTTGGCGACCAACTCTCCTACAGCAACCCTCTATTTTTTTTTCCCGCCGCCATTTTGTCTTCACGAAGTAAAGACACGCTTCTTTTCTTTTTATCTACTGAACACTTCTTCCAACAATCTACTAGCCGAATTACACTTATGCTAGAAATTTTATGTAACAAAACTGCTTAATCATGACAAATATTCACTGCAAAATTGGGAAAAAGTACACAATACATACTCCTTACGCGTTTTTCAAAATAACACATACACATAAACCATGTACACTTCGACTTATTTTTACTTAAAAAAACATCCCAGAATTACACAAAAATTACATTGCGCACACTCTTCACTATATCCATGTACACTGCTTTTTTCTCATAAATTAGAAAAATTTCACGAAAATACATGACAATTTTCTTAATCTTTAAACCCGGTAAAAAGAACATATATGAAATCACCTGATCGCGAAAAAGTATATACCCTTTCCAAATATGAACATTTCCACATATAAAATAAATAAAATATCCAAAAACTTTTATCTCTAAATCATCTATTATATTATAAACATCACCAACGAATTCATACCGCAAGCATAACAAATACTTAGTGTCATATATTTAAATTATTTCCATGCACGTTTACTTCAACTAAAACGTATACCAAATTCCTACAAACATAAAATTCACAAAATAACTATCATTTAATTAAAATATCACTAAACCATGTACACGTCGACTTATTTTTTACTTAAAAAAAATCCCAGAATTGCACAAAAATGGCATTGCGCGCACTCTTCACCATATCCATGTACACTGCTTTTTTCTCATAAATTAGAAAAATTTCACGAAAATGCATGACAATTTTCTGAATCTTTAAACCCATTAAAAAAAGAACATATATGAAATTACCCAATAACAAAAAAAAAAAAAAAAAAAAAAAAAAAAAACCCTTTCCAAATATGAACATTTCCACCTATAAAATAAATAAAATATCCAAAAAACTTTTAACTTTTAAATTATCTATTATATTATAAACGTCACCAACGAATTCATACCGCAAAACATTACAAATACTTAGTGTCAAATATTTAAATTATTTCCACATGCACTTTTACTTCAACTAAAACATATACCAAATTCCTACAAAATATAAATTCACAAAATAACTATCATTTAATTAAAATATAATAAATTAAAAAACGCTACTTAAAATATAATAAGCTCATACATTAAATTAATAAAATTAGCTTACAATCCTAATTACTTTAAACTAAATGATTGCTAATAACAATTTTCCCAATAATACCAAATTACTTACTTCCACCTTACATTTAGAACAATGCATAAAAATAATATCCTCAAATAATTAAAAATACTAACTTACCTAATCTTCTTCAGAATCTTGCTTACATGGTGGATACACTTTTATTATGGATTCAATAAAATTATTGAATAATTTTTTCTGCGAATTTTTCCTCCGCTAAATAAAAAGCAAAATTCTCTTTATCACATCTAGAATTCACTTTAGACAGCGCCATACAATCACAAAATCATTCAACCCTACTTCACACAACACACAATGACGCTTAATACAAAATAATATACAGCCACAGATATTTTTCCAAATTCCCCCCTTTTCCGATTAAAGAACCGTAATTCGTCCATTAATATCACATGACATATCCCATGATCTCTCATTTCCCTCACACAAAATAATGCGTAATCGGAACTGAGTACTGCTCACATTATTACCAAAGTCCCAGGTAGTGACCTTTATCGCCTCCAAAATATCGCCAATTTACCAGTTACCATATTCTAAAGATCAGCCAATTATTCTTAGAGGTTGGTCTCAGTCATCGAACAATGTGGGGCATAATGAAGATAGCCAGACGCATAGCCGAACGCAGCACCATCTGCTTCCGGCTATGCGATGCAAACGTCCACGTTTATTGCACAACAAGCTCCCTATCGTATTGCATGACAACGCTCGTTTGCCATGTAGCAAACAATGTCACTCTCCTTTTGCGACGGTGGCAGTGGGAAATCCTGGAACACCCTCCCTACTCACCCGACACGAGTCCTTGTGACTTCGATCTCTTTCCGAAGTTAAAAGAACCCATCCGAGGCCATCGATTTCATGACGTTTCATCTGTACTCCACACAGTCGGGCGCTCGGTCACTCACATCAACAATCAACACCTTGCCACTGGTCTATAACGGCTGCTCGACATTTGGCAAAAGGTTATAAGCTTTGCTGGTGATTACATAAAAGGAATGTAATGCAGTTGTAATTGTAAGTTCATTAAAAATTGATGTATACCTATGTTGCCATTACTTAATTTACAGCCCTAGTATATACATCTCTTTGTGTGTATATATATATATACACATACATACATTTTGGAATCCAGTCCCAATAACAGAAGAGTACCGCCGTTTCATCAGAAAAATTGCTATTAATAGAGCTTTCGAAGAAGACATATTTACAATTTTTTCTCAACTCACTTCATGCATGCTCGAGAGGATTTAAGTCAGAAAAATATGGAAGAATTTTGGTAACTTTAGTTCAGTTGTATAATTATCACAAGCAAGCACTTATGACTGAAAGTTTGAGATTGTTATCCTCATAGAACCTGAATGTATTTTATATTAAAGTTTTCTTGCAGACACTTCCAGTTTTTCATTAAGAATATTTATATATTTATACTGATCCATATTTTCTATAAAAAGTAAATTTCTCATCAGACAGCAAAATATATCCAAACCATTATGCATCCACCTCTAACAGTAGTCAACAAGGTTTTCAGATTCTTCATTTGGCTTTTGCCTCACAGTAACTTGTCTTCCCATATATATTCAAACTTTGACTCATCTACAAATACAACATTATTTCATTATGAAAATGTTTACTCACAATGGATTTTGTAAACACCAGGAGAATATTTTCTTTTTAAAGAATTTTGTTCTTGCTGATCACCTACCGTATTCATGTGCCTTAATAACTCTCCCAATAGTTACAGGATTAACTTTTACATTAAACTGTTCTTATCCACTGCAAGTTTTATAATACTCATTTTTAGGTTTTGTTTGATTTTTCAAGGGATAAATCTCTGATCCCTTGACGCCTTTGTGTTAACTTGAAAAGTGGGCCAGACCTCACTGCATTTTGAACACTTTCAGAGAACTTTCATTATTTTAAAGCATCAGAGAATGTTTAGCATAAAGGATTTTTTAAACACTTTGAATACTTTTATCATGTTTTTAATATCATGAATCATTAAATTTCGAACAGAACTTTTCGTTAATTTGCAGTCTTTCCATATTCACTTCAGATATGGAACTGTTAATATATTTTGATATTGAAGTAGAAATTTCTAAATGCAAGCAATAATTCTCATATGTTCTTTAATTTAAAACAAGAAATAAGACAAGGCACATCATCTTCCGAAACATCTCAACCAAACTTTTGAGTGTCCAAATTATTATCAGAGTTACTGATCAACATACTTGGAAGAAATTATTTTTTTGCAAAGACTATTTTGATTACATTTATTTTGTAACAAGCAAGTCTTAAAAAAGAAAATAAATAATTTACCAAGAAACAATTTGGAGTCTGTATTTCAGTATTTAATAAATTAGTAAATTATAATATTTTTAGTAAAACTAAATTATTAACTTAAAGATCTATACAAATAAATTTAAATACAAATACAAGCATCCGAAAGCAAACATGAGCCACTGTGTATATATATTGTTTTCATTTTGGACATAAAAGTGTTCATACACTTACAAGTTTCAGTGACATATTGCTTTAATCATTAATCAAATTACTTAACAATTTTATGTACATATTAAAACTTTATTTTTTGGAAAACCAATAATAAAAAAGTAACAGAAAAGTTACCCAACAAAAGTCTTCGTATGCTTTAAAGAAATCTGCACATATTAGTAAATATTGTAGTATTTCTGTCAGTTAATATTTTGTAGTATTAATGACAGCTTTCAAATATCTGAGCATAGAGTTCACCAGTTTTTTTTTTTTTTTTTTTTTTTTTTGTAATATCTGCAACAATGTTCCTCCATTCTTCCATCATTACTGTTTTTAGTTCGATTTTTGTTTTGATGTTGTGTCTTTATATTCTAATTCTCTTCATATGTGTTCTGCTGGGCTTAGATCTAGTGACTGAGGTGGTGTTTTCAGAACTTGTGGACAATTATAGACACCCAAAAGGTGAACGTTGAAGGGCGTGTGCTTAGAATCGTTATCCTGATAAACAAAAATAAAGTTATTTCCAGTATCCAAATTTTGCGATAAAAAGGAAAGAAAAAGATAACAGATCTTTTAAAATGTTTAAATAAAGAGAAATTTTTTAAACATCACCAAAATCAAAAAATAAAATGTGTTAGACGACCATTTTATTTATGAAATTTTACAAAATGTTTCGGTGTATGATCACTTTTGTGGCGTGTTTTATCTATGCCTCCCTACATTTTGAATTTTAGAAAACGAAAGTAAGTCAATATTACAAAATTTGGTTTTATTCAAAGTTACATGGAGATGTTATGAAAAAATATTGGGATATATATTCGAATTCAGTTCCGGGTTATAGCGGCTTTTCATTTGTGAGACATTGTATACTATTTTATAAACTAGTATGAATCTGATAAAACGATGACGTCTTACCTATCTTTACTTTTTGACTGCGCTTGGTCATCTAAACGATAAAAATTTTCAAGAATTTTATCCTGAGATTCTCTTCTAAATAATTTTCTTTCTCCAAACTCCAAAGTTTTGGTAACATTCGAATTTTCCACCACATTTTTCACCTTGCATTCAGTAGTATTCGCCGGTCTCACACAGCTCTCTTTGGTTGTGAATTCCAAACGATCAACAGGGACAGATCGTGCTCTTTTAAAATGCAAATTAAAATTTAGCTCTGCAAGGTTTGTATCACGATGAGTCCCATCCAGAGATATATTGGAAAGAAAGGTAAGAGCTGCTAAACGACGGCGGGAATGAATTTTTCTCGATGTACTCGTCATTTTTTTGGAATTGCAAGCTGATTAATGTAAATACCCATTACTTCAAAATGATAAAAAATTTGAACTTTAAAAAAATTTCACAAAATTAAAATTCAAGATAACACTCAGACGAAACGTAAACACTAATCACAGTGAGTATTAGAACCAAATTCTTTGATTAAAACATATGTTTTTGCGTATTGTCGCATTTGGCGAAGACTGTCAGTATTATCGCCAAATTCTTGCCGTAGATTCGAATAAGTTCAATTGCTTTTAGCAAGTATTTTGCTTTAGTAAAGGAGGAGTTACAGCCAAATATGGTATCTTCATCACTAACGATATCTCGCAAAATCTCGTCTGCTTCCTGTGGATAACTTCCTGTCTGTTTCGGTTTTCGAGTGTGTCTGTAATCCTGGCTCCTCATACTTTAAATTCCATGTTATGCAAATGAAGGGTGTGTTGTAATCCCTTTTTTAATTTTTTAATACTATGGACAGTGAAAATACGAGTAATTATCGTGGTAGCCGAATGAATACGATGGAAGGTGTTGGAGCTCGAGTGATGAGAGGACCCGATTGGAAATGGGGAAAACAAGACGGAGGTGAGGGGCACCTGGGCACTGTAAGAAACTTTGAATCTCCTGAAGAAGTAGTGGTTGTTTGGGACAATGGGACAGCTGCAAACTACAGATGTTCCGGAGCTTATGATCTTAGAATTGTGGAAAGTGCTCCTACCGGTAAGTCTAAATTGCTAGTAAATCCGTATGATATAAATATTATGCATATTATATTTCAGCACTGCACTTCATTATGGATTTTTAATTAATTATAATGCAGTCCTGTTTTATTTTGACATCTAAAAAAATTTAATTGTTATGTATGCAATCAATATAAATATGTGTAACTTTTCCCTTTAAACTTCTATTTTAAGTCCTTTTGACAGTTAATTTTATGACTCAGTTTTGTTGAATTCATCATGTTTTCACTTCACAATCAGCAATCTTTTGACATTACTGTAGATGAAATGAACAAGGTTGATCTTTACATCGCTAAAAGAATATATGGCATGTCTAGAAAAGACATTTTTAAGCAAATCATGCCACAAATACTGTGCGTGCGTTCTTGGCATAAAAAGTATGTGCAAGCTTTAAAAATTGTCATATTCTCTTCTGAAAGTGCTAAATTGTTTTCCTCTACAATGAGATCCCAAATACTAAAAATGCATAATATCTTTTCATGAAAAAGGATAATAATTACAAAAATAAGCAACATTACATTTAATATATTTAAATATGCGTATTTTTATGCCATATCATTAATAATAATGATAAAATCACTATATTTAACAATGTCTTCCTTAATACAATAATGTATCGAGTGCATTTAATCAACCCACACATATTCAAAAAGGCTGTCTGAAATATTCATTTGTTTTCTGTAACCATTACTTCATTTAGAAATTCGTGAAATGTTGTTTATGTGAAGAGCTATTATTCGGGCAACTCAGTATTTTTTGTCGCAATTTCTACATTGTGATTTCCCATGAATGTGATTATTTTATTGTTTCTTTTTTAGTTGCCTGAATCTTGATAAAACATTTCAAGTTGTAACTTTTTCATTTTTAATTTCTTTTCTCTATTTGTGTGGCCAATTTTCTTTTTAACAGAGTAGATACTTTCGTTATATACTAGAAATATTAAAATCATTATACAAGTCCATTCCATTTTATGAACTTTTGTTGGTGAATGATAAATAACATACGTTATACATATAGATATGTTATCAATACATCTTTGCAAAACTTTGTTTTTATAGTGCTTTTTTTGGTTAATGAAAGAAATTTGAAACAATTTTTGCTTTTACAAACAAAGCTGGAGAAAAATATAAAAAAGTAAGAAAAATATAGCTTGGTGTTTATTGTACTCATTGATTACATAAAAAAGAAAAATATAGCTTAGTGTTTATTGTACTCATAGATTACATAAATATGTGGCTAATTGAAATTAGCATACAGACTGAAGGTAGATTTTGATGTGCAAAACTTTTAAGAAAAAATGCAGAATTGTGCGTTTATATGTTTGGTGCTTTTTACAAGAGTAAGAAGAATTGGATTTTTGCCAATTTTCTTTGACTTTTTAAGTGAAAATAGATTGATATATGCATGGATAAAGGGAGTGCGCAATGCCATTTTTGTACAATTCTGGGATCTTTTTTTAAGTAAAAATAGGTCGATGTGTACATGGATACCAAGTATGTGCAATTCTTAAAAATGAGCCAAGCAGTGGGTGATTCTGTTCTTTCCCTAACTTTTAATTGCCTACAGAGAACTGTATGGTAGGAAAAAAGGAGCAAGTCAGTTGTGGTGTTTTATTTAATTTTAATAACAGTTAATTTTATTTTGGAACCAAACTTTCGTATTGCTCTTGCCTTCAACACACATTTTCTTGCCAGAATGAGATTTCAGTTTTGTGCATTATGCATGGTAGGGTAGAAAGCTACTATTTAAGCCAGTGTTTGAGTTACTTCAGACGAAGCATGTTCTGCCTTTCACCCACATTGTTTCTCTGCTACTTAAGCTTACTATTTTATGGTCGTGCAGATTAATTGTTGGTTAGTCTGCATCGGTGGTAGGGCCAAGAGCCAACTAACTACGTGTTAAATTATCTCTGTGCTCCTTCAGCTGATTATTCAACTTGGTTATGTTTTAATTTTATGTTTTTTGTTTGAGTTGCTGCCAAAAGTATTGGTGAGGCCCTGTATGCACCAAGAGGGCCAATCATACATACTGTTCTTGAGTTGAATAAAAAGGTCTTTTCCTATGTGGTGTTATAGATACAGCTGAACTTAGAGAATAGTCTCTTCACAGTCAGATTCGTAGCTAGGGTTTTCAGCGCCCAGGGACAACTGAAGATTTCGCGCTCCCCACTGTTTGCCAAGGATGGAAAACATTTAATTCTAAAATGTCATAACATCAGTTTGGCGTCCCTTGGATCCTGCGCCCCAGGACAGATGCCCCCCCTTGCCCCCCCTTTAGCTACACCTCTGTTCACAGTTCAAGTAAAGATCTAGCCAACAAAGTAACTTCAATTTAGATAGAATATTAACACAGTTTTAGTAGTCAAGCACATTGTCTTAGTTCAAGCTTTTCTCATTAGCTAGATCATAAAAAATTTCTGCCCGCAGTATTGTGCCAGGTAGGCATAGAAAATGTTGTCACAGTGATTGGTTTAATATAAATGGTGAGGTAACACAATAAAACCTTGACAAATGCGAGGGCTTAATTTAGGATTCGGCCTTTAGCCGTCGTGTGAGTAGGTTGTGTTTTCAACCGAAGCTCTGTTTCTTTACTTGTGCTATAGTTTAACTGCTATGCCTAATCAGAGTGCACGGTGCTGTAAAAGTAGGCCACTGTTGCTAAAACTCTGATTTCACCAGTTTTGCTCATCGTTTGATCATGGAACATATGATTGATTTCGTTAGCGCTGAAATTACGAATCTGCAGTGCATAGAAGAAGCAGATGGCCCCCTTAGTGAACAAGATGACAGGGATCTCCTATTTTTTCAAAGACTAAAACTTTTCATAGAAAATGAGATCACCCAGAAAAGAACCGCCGCTGCACCGAAGCCTAATATCCCTGCTGCTAAAACATTTGACGATGAATTTCCGACTCTTGGTCAGATTAAACCTAACGCTCGACGAGCCAACAGCCCAGCCGATTCTGATGAGGAAGGCTCCAAAAAATATATAGCCCTAGATGAGGATAGCAGCGATTCTGATACAGGACCCAGAGGAGACACCACCATACGTTTAAGAAAGCCTGTCCGGAAAACAACTCCTCGGATAATTCTGATTCGTCGAGAATACCTCCTCCAGAGACGACTGCAAATGAAACTTTCGAAAACATGGAAACGGTCCCTAACAAAACTCCTGCTCAAGACGCAGCCAATCTGGATGCAGCACCTTTTAAAAGAACACCGCCGATAATAATTAAAGACCAAAGGAAAAATTTCATGCAACTCAAAGCTTTATTAATCGGATATAACATCTCTATTAACCGAGATTATGTAGCGTCGCCGTGACGGAGAAATAATAAATATACCACTGTTCCTTGTGACTTTAAAAAGAGAGGAAAAGAGCAATGCCATCTTCCATGAACATTTTGTGCTTGGAATGAAAATCAAAGTCGAAGGTTATAAAGGAAGAGCTGGGCCCTTACAGTGTTTTCGCTGTCAAGGGTTCCACCACTCTCAAAGTATCATCACGCCCTGCGCTGTGTTCGCTGTGGTGAGGAGCATGAATCTTTCACATGCAAAAAAGATAAAACTACTCATCCAAAGTGTGCGAATTGCCTTATGGAAGGACACACAGCAAACTACAGAGGATGTGAAAGATTTCCTAAGACGAAAACTTTCTCTCAACCGAAACCATTCACAGATCAAGTCATCACAAACAAATCATACGCTGAAGCCTTAAGCTCTGGATTAGCCCCTGAATCTCTCATGGAAGCTAAAAAAGTGCTTTGTGACTTTGGGCCATCGTTTCCATCATTCAGAAATCTGGAATAACTCAAATCTTCAAGCAATTAACTACTGATAAAGCTTCACTTCCTGACAAAACCCAGCAACATGGATAAAACTACCAGAACTGTGAATCCCATCCATTTCGTCATCTGGAATGCCAATGGTCTCCAGAACAGTTTATATGAACTTCATAATTTTCTACAGTATCATGATTTTGATATTGCTGTGATTACAAACCCATGTTTTTCTCAAAAAATTATTTATTTACAATGCATCTATGTTTGTACAACCCGTTTAATTAAGGAAAGCCTTTAATTTTTAAATATATTTATTTCAGCTCTATACAACCCGCTTAACAGTGATAAGGTATTAAATGCTTTTTTGCCAAGTGATATCCCGACCCTAACTTCAATCCAATGCAAATGGCAAAATATTATTATATTAATAATCCCATTGACATGCGCTTTCGTCTACCACTACTATTCCTATTACTACTGAAGTACTTCAAGAACTTTCATCTGACCACCTGCCCGTTATCTGCTTATCTGGGAATTACTAGAAACTGAAGCTCGTACTCTTAACACAATTACTGACTGGTCTCTTTTTGAAAATCTTATGAGTGATCGTATTATTCCTCTCTATAACCTTAATACAGTGCAAGGAATTGAAAATGCGGTTTCTGCACTTACTGAAAATATTAAAAGTGCTATTGCAGAAGCAAGTGACACTAAACCACTTAAAGATAATAGCCTTCGACTCCCTAATTACATTCGCATCAAGATTAGACAACGCAACAGAATGAGAAAATCCTATCACGTGACCTGGGACCCACGAATGAAACGCGAAATCAATAAACTTAATAAAGAAATTCAGAAAGACATAAAAAATTATAGAGAAGAATTATGGTGCGAGAAATTAATTAATATTGACACTAGAGATGGGTCATTATGGACAATTAATTAAGAATCTTAAATCTCACTATACTACAAATCGCCCTCTTACCCATAATGGAGCTCTCGCAGTCACTCATCAGGATAAAGCAAAATGTGTTTGCGACCTACCTAGAGGAACAATTTACACCCAATGAATGGCCAAATAATAAGGACTTTGAACATAGCACATTGACACATGTCAAAGACTGGTTATATTCCCCCACTGCTAGAAACTTAATTAAATTCACCAACCCAGCTGAGATTAAAGAAATTATCAAGAAACT